CCAAAGATACTCCCTGGTTCATGAGACACCTACCCCATGCCGCCTCTGCCTCCACGGCCACCTCCACGACCTCTGGGTTCATAGCCACCACTGCTGCGGTTGTAACCACCGCCACCACCCCTGCCTCGGCCCCCACGGTCCTGCTGGCCTCCCCCGTAGCCGCCACCGCCACCACCACTCTGGTCCTGATTGCCATAGCCACCGCCGCCGCCGCCACTCATGGAGGACTGATCTTGGCCATAACTGCCTGTCAAAGAAGAAAAGATCTTTTAGAAACAGCAAGTGGGGATGTAGTTTAGCTTCAGAGCCTGTGTTTTAGCAGGGACAAGGCCCTAAGTTTAATCCCAGCACCAAAGGGGGACAGGGTATGATACAGTATGAGATGGATCAACAGTGCCAGAAAGAAGTAATAGAACAAGAAGAGGGCTGGGCAACAAGGAAGCAAGTCCTTTAGGATAAGACCCTAACAAAAGAATATAAAAGTAGGAGACAGCAAAGATGCCTTCTCACCTCCACCGCCCCCTCCACCACCTCCACTGCTACTGTTGTACTGGTTCTGCTGTCCATAGCCCTGAGGGGGATTATAGGAGCTTTGCTGCTGTCCGTAGCTCTGTTGCTGTCCACCATAGCCAGACTGTTGGCCATAGCTGCCACTCTGGGGCTGCCCATAGCTGCTGCTTTGAGAACTGCTACCATAACTAGGGAGAAAAACAAAAAACCAAAATCATAATCCTACTATGTTTGCCCACAGTCTCCCATTTCTTCACTCTACCTACTCTCTTTACCAACACCAACCTCTCAATTAATTTACCCCTCATCTTCCTGGCCTCCCCCCTCAACACCTTACCTTCCCGAGGTGCTGCTGGGAGCTGGCTGCTGACCATAGCCAGGATAAGAGGACTGCTGCCCATACGATGACTGGGAACTCTGGCTACTGCCATAGCCACTAGTGGAGCCATAACCCTGGGGAGCTGACTGAGTGCCATAGCCTGCTATTAAGAAAAGAAAACGGAAAAGAAAAAAGAAAATGGGAATCAAAAACACTATGAAGAAAGGAAAAAAACAGCTAAAGAAAACATAGGTAACTACCTAATGCTCACCCATAATTGATTGATTGTTTTTTTGTTTTGTTTTTCCAGTACCGGGAATCAAACTCATGACCTTGCGCTTGCCAGGCAGGCACTGTACGGCAGTGCTAAATCACCAGCCCCCTCACCCAAAATTGAAACCTAAGCTTTACACATTGCTAACAAATCTTGCAACTTCATTACCCTTCTTTTAAACTCTTAATGTTCTAACTTTAGGATTATTTAAAAAAAACAAAACAGTAACTTTAAGATTATTGCAATTTCAAATGAAAGGAAAATGCTCAAAAGTAAAGGGCAACTGGGGTGTGGGAAAAGAGCAGGAAAGAAGGGGAAATTATGTATGTATGTATATAAATATACAGGAGAGCTAACATAGGTGTACTACCGGTCTTCTATTGCTTTACTGAAATTAACAGTGAATGATTACTTGTTTGATCAGTATTGCCTGTCTCATTTGTTTTCCTGAGAGACCACTTGGACAACAGCAATACGTAATACAACAATCATTGTTAATTTCCTACCACTTTGTCTGTACCTCTGTGTTGTTTGTATTGTTTTTATGCTATTTTGTAAATAGATGTCTGTTTGTTAATGTTTTCCTTCTTTTATTTTTAAAATAAATAATAAATAAAGAGGATTATTGCAATTTCATTTCACCTATTCAGAAGTCAGTCTCTGAGCCCACTAATCACAGCCCAAAAGATCTCAATTTATTAAGCACATTTTAATGTGCTGGCATGTGTACAGTATACACAAGACAACCCACATTATTTAGACTTCTAGACCTTACAGTAAATTCTATTTCCTTGTGTATCACACGACAAATAAATTTTGTGGGGTTTTTTTGCCTTTTTGAGACAGGGTCTCGCTATGCAGTTCAGGCTGGCCTTGAGTTCACTTTGTAGCCCAGGCTGGTCTCAAACTTGCAATGATCCTCCTGCCTCAGCCTCCTGAGCGCTGGGATTAGAGGCATGCACTACCACACTCAGCCACATGATATATAATAGCCTAACTTCAAGCAAACCATTTCCTCCACCTAAGAATCAGCCCAAAGCTAGGCATGGTGGCATAGGCCTGTAATCCCAGCACTCGGGAGCTAGGCAGGAAGATTGGAGAGTTCAAGGCCAGCCTGAACTGCATAGCGAGACCATTTCAAAATGACAAAAAAAGGGCCAAAACCAGAGAGGGCGTGGCACATGCCACTACCTAAAGAGGCTGAAGCAGGAGAGTCTCAACTCAAGGCCAGCCTGGGTAACTTTGCAAGGCCCTGTATCTGTGTCTGTCTCAAAATAATAATAGGCTGGATACGAAAGTCAGTGGTACTGCATACAGTACCTGCCTAGCATGCAGAAGGCCCTAGTACTCACACAATCCCCAGTACCACACAACAAAGTGGTAATAATGAGCTTAAAACTGGTTTTCCCTATAGGAAATATATCCTTTCTTGGTGATAAGGAAAACAGGAAAAAGTCCAACACACCAGCTAAGAAAGAATCCCAAACAATAAAAAGCAACAGCCACAATCATTAAGCATTTTTTTCTTGAAAGGACTAAGAATCTAAGAAAGTTTTAAAAATTATAAACTGATTCGGGGGAAAAAATATGGGAGTCGGAACATTTCATCACTGCTCAGGTTTAACAAATGCAACATTTACAAAGACCAAGAGGTGGAATAACCCACTAAGGGACTCACTGTTCTGTGTCTGTCCGTAAGAAGAACCGTAGCTGCTCTGGCCATAGCCTGAAGTGTCTGACTGGCCATAACCACTGTAACTCTGCTGTCCATAGGGCTGACTGCTCTGCTGGGAGTAGCCCTGCCCAGGCTGGGTGGGGTAGGCCCCATAGCTACAGAGAAGAAAAAACACCCTGTTAGAAAAAGTTACCTTAGGAAAAAAGAGGGGATACTTAATGTTACCTTTACCTCCATAAACTGTGAAACTCAAAACACAGCACTCACCTTTGGGTTGCTTGTTGGGTATAGTCTGCAAAACAAAAACATAATTACATTAGTTTCAGTGTAACAGTGCTGAAGTCCTCACATCCTGGAACCTCCAGACTAAGAAAATAATCAACAAAATAGTCATTACTCTCTAAGAAAGAGCACAATTCTCCCTTAACACACTAGCTGAGAAGAACAAACTAGTAATTTCATTACAATTTTTTAAAAAGGGTAACCGGAGTTGGGCTTGGTGGCAAACAACTGTAATCCCAGTATTCGGGAGGCTGAGGCAAGAGGATCATTTTGAGTTGGAGACCAGCCTGGGTTACAAAGTGAGCTCAAGGCCAGCCTGAACTGCGCAGTGAGACTTTGTCTCAAAAAGACAAAAAAATTTTTAAAAATTTAGAAACAAAAAATAAAAAGGGTAACCCGGGAGTGGCAGCGCACCCCTGTAATCCCAGAGAGGCTGAGGCAGGACTGCCTGCACTACACAGCCTGATCTCCATAGCGGGACCCTGTCTCAAAGAACTACAAGTTTCTAGAGACCAAAACTTAACTGGAAAAACTAAGGATTTCATTAGGCAGACACCTACAATTATCTCCAAACTCGATTTGCCAGAAACTGCTCTAAATTGACCTAACGTTTCACTTTCCCGACCACTCCTGGAGAAAAGTACTACCACCCGACAGTCAAGATACAGTAACTAGCCCAAACCTACAGCGCTAGATGACATAGATTTAGTTTCAGTTAAGCCCGAGGCAGTGCTGCTCAGAATGTGCACTCCAAAGACCAAAAAAACAGGAATGCCTAAAAAAAAGAATCTTGCAGTGCATGGTGCTACACGTAGCACTCAGGAGGCTGAGGCAGGATCAAGGAGTTCCTGGCTAGCCTGAGTTCAAGGCCAATCTCGCCAGGCGTGGTGACGCACACCTGTAATCCCAGCACTCGGGAAGCTGAGGCAGGATCTTTGCGAGTTCAAGACCAGCCTGGGCTACAAAGTGAGCTCAAGGCCAGTCTGA